ACGACGCTCTTCCGATCTCCCCAAAACCCCAAAACCCCACCATCAGAGTTTATTAGTGAATTTTGAAGTATTAGTAAAATTATTCATTACTTAACCGAAATTTATAAAGTCTGCTGTTTGAGTCTTAACTTAATAAATAAAATTTTATTGTAACAACAAGTAAGATATATTCCCAAACAAATGGCATCTGCAAACGTCAACCAGGATTTGCTGAACGTGGACGATCACGAATTCAGCCGCGACTTTAATGGCTCCCTAAACATGAGCCCCGACAGACCCATGAGAAAAGGTAAGAGTCTACATTCTCCTTTGGGAAACATATTTCTAATGGATATTTATAGAGGATTTGTCCATTAATATGGGTGATATGAACAGATCAAGGACTTCAAGCACTAATAGAAGATTAGATCAATAAGGTAAAGACTTGAATGAATCTAAATATGACTATAGAAAAATCTCAAATGCTGAGAGAGGCAGAGAATGAGTACAGGGAGTTACTACGCTAGCTAGAGGAGGATGAGAATGTGACAAGAGAAGACTTGGAGAATTTCAAGAAAAATGCCCTCGTTCACAAAAGTATTCTTGAGGTGAGACGCAGAGCTCAAGCCCTTTAAGAGATTAGATCATCACCAGAGAGATATCGCAAGGCTCAGTCCAAGGTGGAGCAGAACATCAAGACCCAAGTGAAGGTTAACTCCACCAAATAATCAAATCAGTGTGGATTCCTTGACAGCAAGACTGAATACTAATCTCTATTCAAATATACCGTTGAGAAGAGAGAGAAGCCCTACGATATCACTGATGATGAGATAACTACTGTCAAGAAGATTCCTCTTAATGAGAAATCAATGGCAAAGCTCACTTAGAGAGACGATCAAATTCACCAAGCAGAGCAGTACCTTGAAGACTTAATGAATGAGCTTAAAGATCGCAGACCTTTCCACGAGAAGCTACAGTAATATAAAGCCAGAGGGGATACTTAACATATCCATGCTCTAGGAGCTGTAGATCTTGATTAAGTTCTCAGAGTTGACAACCACCACAAAACTGCTGATTAAATCCTCAACTTTGACGGTAATGTTCAAGTAGATATCCCAGTAGATAATGCTGATGAAGATGATGAAGAACTCGAGCAAGCTGATATGGAGCAGATTGACAATCAATCAGCCAGAGACTCTGACTTCCAACCTGAGACCAACCCTCCTCCTCCACAGCCAATCCAGTAAACTGTTCCCTAACAAACTCCTATTGTTCAAGAACAAAAGCAAGTTCAATAACAATAATAATAATAAACTGTTCAATAAAAATAACAACCAGCCCCTTAATCTCAATCAGTCGTTAAAAAGACTTAGTCCAAGGCTCAAGCAGGCATCCCAACTTAAAAGAAAGCAAGTGTTTCACCATCACCAGCTCCCAAGACCTCAACTAAAAAGGAGGAACCCAGAAAGAGCACTGTCACCACTAACAAAAAAGAGCAGCCAAAGAAGGAGGAAAAGAAACAACAACAACAATAGCCAGTTGTTCAACAGCAGAAGTAAGTGGAAGAGTAAAAACAAGACATCTCAATTCTGGTCTAGGGTGAGGATGTAATTAACATTCAAAGCACTGCTGACGGTGGTCACAGAGTAAATATCAACCCACCTGAAGGAGCTGATGGTTGTGTTATGCTCATTGAGAAGAGAAGCAGACCAAACTCACCAACTCCACAGAAGATGGTAGTTAACAAAAAGAAGGCCGGACAAAACACTGGCTTCATTTCTACTCAGCCAAAGCCATAAGTTCAAGCTTAAGTTCAACAAGAATAAAAACCTGTTCCACAGAAGCAAGAATAACCCAAAGAGGAGGTTAAATAGGAGCCTATTGTATAGTAACAAGTGCAAGTATAAGCACAAGTTGAAGTTTAATCTCATGTTGAGGTTTAAGCAGAGTCAGAAGACGCTAGAAGCTACCTCAGTGGATCATCAAACGGTAACTTTGGAGACCTCGCTGCTACCAAGTATAAGCAAAGAGAAGCCCAAGCTGACAACAAGTTCGTCAACAGAGATCTTGAGGATAAAACTAATGCACTTCAAGATGAGTTCCAAAAGATTCTTGATGAGTTGAATGCCAGAAGATCAAACAACAACGGCGATCATTTCTATCAGGCTCTTAATGAGTACTATTAAGAGGGTGGAGAAGCTCACACTTCTCCAGTGAGAAGACTCATTCAGCACAAGAACACCACCTTTGAGCACAAAAAGACTATGCACGACAACATTGACAAGGGTGACTACGCTTTTGTCTACACTCCAGGTCCAGGCAAGAGTTACGTTATTGAGCCTCACGGAGGAGAGTTGAACTACAACTTGGCTAAGAAGGACCCACTCAAGTTCTATGACCAAGTGTTCAACTAGGACATTACTAAGCATACTGTTGCCAAGGACAAGGATGAAATAAAGAAGAATGATGAAGAGCAAAAGCAGAGAGCTGTTGATGGCAAGAAGCCCCTCAAGAACAAGAAGGTTGAGACCGTAGTTAAATCTAAGGTCACCAAGAGACCCCATGTTAAGATCATGGAGAAACTCATGCTCAGAATCGCCTAGAAGCTGGCTGAAAAGCTTGGAAACGAATTCGGAATGAACACCATCATGCACGCCATGAGAGACAAGGGAGTCGAAGAACAAATCAAGGAGTTGATCTAGCAGGATAAGCTCGTGCTAGTTGATCAATCTAATAAAGTGCTCTTCGAGAGAGAGATCAAGGAGGGCATGGGTGTCAAGAGATAAACTTCTCATATAGTCACTCAGAAAGAGAAGTCTGCCAAGAAAGGAGGTAATATTACCCCCTCTCAACAATCAAGTCAAGGTGAAGCTCAAATTCAGATAGATCAAGAGATGGATGAACAAGAGGTTATGCTAAACGACGGTGCTCTGGCTCAAACCAACACTCACCTTAAAATTGCTGATAAGGATTTAAGAAAAATCTAGACTAAGGTTTTAGAGGTCCACAGAAGAAACTCCTTCAGAAACTGAGAGAAAATGCCCAGACTAAAAAAATATTTCTAAACAAAATACCAGTTTTTCATTAAGTTATTTAAACTTTATACTCACATCTCTATTTAACTTAATAGATATTTCGTGGGGTTTTGGGGTTTTGGGGTTTTGGGGTTTTGGGGTTTTGGGG